TTTCGTTGATTTGAAATTGATTTATTGATTGGAAATTGGTAGATTGCCTTTTTTATTGAATTTTTTTACTTTGATTCATATTACATTCGAACATATTCCTGAACATCGGCATTACTTAGCATTCGCCAATTCAAAAATCGCAAAAATTCGCCTTTTGTCTTACAGAAAAGTTGCTCCATTCTTATCGGCACCACTTACACTAAACGAGCGGGAAAAGTTAGCCGGTGATTCCGGGCACGTCCCCGCGATCTCGCACGCTCTGATTTGCCGATGCATCCCAGCTCGGAAGCATTTTTCTTGGCGCGATGATGAATTCGCAGGAGCTATAAATCACGAGTCGCCTCTCGCGGGACCCGAAATTAATTTAGTAAAGACGCGCTCCAATTGATCGTCTCGTTCCGCCGATCCCCCCTAAATCCCCCCCCCCCCCGAATCTACCGGGCGTCCCGCGTGGGAAACTGGAGAAAAAATGCCACGGGGACGTGCCATACTCGTCCGTCTATACTCACATCCTTGAGGGTGGATCAAGGGGAGATAAATCCATCTTCTTGGGAAATAAGAGGATACGTTTTTGGAGAAAGTCGAACGAAAAAAATGGTACTGAAATACGGGGTGTTTAAAGATTGAACTACCATACATCGAGAGCCTGTTTTATGAGTCAAAATAGGGCCTTTTTTTCTTTTTATTGTTTTTTTCTTTTTTTAAAAGTACCCTTCGTCAGGTGGGCAAATCATCGGTTTTTTCGAATTTTGGTGGCGGGGGTGGACCAAGAATCACGAGGACTAACCAACCACGCACATAATTTTCAGGGCTGAATAGGTCTTAGGATCTTTCAAGGCTAAACAACCTCCTCTTTTTTGGCCCTCCATCCTCTTGGACCCCCTGAAACCTTCAACTTGAAATTGCAATATTTTTAAGGACATAGGTGAATTTAGCGCTGAAAATTTTGAGGGGAAATGGTCATTCTTCAGAATTTCTGGAGTTTGCTTCAGAGAAACCCAGGTCCACGATCGTGTTTCTCATGAAATTTCACGCGAGAAAAAGTGCTCAAATTGTAAATCCCCCAAACATACAAAAGCTCGCACTTGAAGTTTGGTTCGTACGACTGAAAATGTCAATGTCCTGCGCGAACTGAAGCTTAGTTTTTGAAACCAATGTTAATTTCTCAGTGTACAACACCACTCCTTTAGTAATCACAATTGGACCGAGTTCATCAAAAAGGAACCAACCCACATTTCCGGAAAAATTGAGTCAAGAATATTTTTGTGTTCCAGTAGTCGTGCATCCTCTTCCGACAAAAACCCATAGTCGATATAAAGATTTTCCGTGGAAAGAAAGGTTAAGGTTTATTTTCTGCATTGAATCTTAAAGATAAATAAACCTTCAAAATTCTCATTCTCAGTTTCAACTTTATGTTGGTCGGTTCCTTTCTGCTAAACTCCATCCATTTTTCCTTGGTGCATGATTTGGGAACATTCCATGTTGACTGACTCTCACCGCAAATTTTGTGTCCAAGGTAAGGAATAGTTCGAAGAGAGGTGTAGACATACACGTTGGGTCTCCTTTCGTTGTGGCTTTTTACTATGCTCTCCACAGCACCGTCGCGAATAATGAAAGCCATTTAATTCCGCATCCGCAAATCTTTTACGACGGCGAGCGCTGCTAAATTCAACTATTTCGCGGATACTCGTAACTCGCACGGGAACGGAACACATCAAACGGACGCCCAACAATGTGGCAAAGCGCAGTAAATCGCTTTTATGAAAAAAGGGAGCCCAAGAAACCCTCGCCGCACTGTGGTCAACGTCTCCGCGTTCACGAGAGATCCGAATATTCGCGATGGCAAGTGATTCGAATATTCGCGATCACCACTGAAAACTTTCGACTTTTCAACATAAATCAAGTGTAGTAAAAAAAAAAAAAAAAAAAAAAAAAAAAAAAAAAAAAGTTTTGGGGAAAAGAGAGGCTATTTCTTAAAGGATTTCGATAATGAAGCTTCAAAAATTCGTACCTCGATTATGGTGTTTAAAAACTCCGCACGCACTTTATTTTTTAAACTAATACAGAGACAACATCATGGATTGAAAGTTTCGCTGAATATTATTCGCATTGAGGAAAAAAAAATCAGGGAATTTTTCAAAAAATGACGCCTACTAGTTTTTAATGTGGAAAATGAAGTATGGCAAGAAGTCTCCGCAAACCGAGATACGCATTTGTGTAGTTTCACCATCAATTTGCTCTTTAATTCCTATACGTAAAAATGCTTGGTAAAATTTTAATATTGATAGACTGCAGGCGCTTCTTGGGCCAAAGGACTCAAATATGCTGCAAAAAGCGTTATTTTTTTCCAAGATCATTACAAAGTACAGAATTCCAAGATACAAAGGGAAACATGTATCACATGTCTACAAAATGTTCCTTGCTGTGTATAATTCGGTGGTTTTTTCGGTGAAATGGCATCATCCCGCCTACTTGCCCTTTTAAATAATTATTTCTTACGATACATGTTTCCCTATATAAGTGTTTTGAAATGCTGAGACGTAAAATGACCATAGTATTTTCTTCAGTGGAGCCATTTTGTTTTCCGCAAAATTGTACATGAGACTAGTCCGTCATGTCGAAAAACCCTGACTCTGTAGGTGCTCATTTCGATGAGTTCATCATTTCTCAGTAGCCCACTGTGAGACTGCGGGAAATTTTTGGGCAGAGTTGCAGTATGCTGGTTGCATTTTTGCTCTACAGTGTAAGGGACGCCATGCTTGAATCAAAGTAAAGCTGTGCAACTTTTATTGATGCTCGTTTTATGTCAGCTATAGAAGGGTTTTATTTTGCTTCCTGACTCAAATCAAAATTTTACGTTTTAATTCCCGCCAAACTAACAGGAGATTTCCTCAGACCTTGGCTTCCTTTTTCTCCCTCTCAAAACGTTGGGCTTTTTCTTTCCTCCCGAGATGTTTTCTTACTATTTTTCAACCATGCAATTGTTTTATTTGTGGTGGCAGGATTCTGTTCATTTATTAATATGTCCTGAAGAAGAATTCCTTCCCAGAAATTTAATAACTTCTGGAACAGGGTCCTTTCCAAGTCACGTATACTTTCTAAATATAACCAAAGATAATTTAAAATGAACTGGAGGCCTCTCTCTTATGGCTTAATTTTCATTCTGGGAACAATTGAATCCGTCCACTTCATTAAATTAGAAATGTATCTAACTGATTTTGCAGTTTTTTGTGTTATTTGTCGTTAAATATGAGTACAAACAACCGTCATTGTCAATTAGGTACTTTTTCAAATATGAAAAATTTAATTATGGCAAGAAAGAGCCGAAATAGGATAGTCTGTAATATGAATATTTTTGACCTCCCACAAATAAGAAGAGGAATCAGTTAGATAAAAAAAAAACATTTGCTATCATTCTAAAATGTTTTTTTAAAAAAGGAATGAAAGCTTCTCACTTGTTTTAAGTACAGATTTTTTTCATGATAAATTATGAAAGGAGTCAAAAAAAGTTACAGGCAACATTCCACCATTCTTTCAAAAGTAAAAAAAAATCATTTGCGACAAGAAAAACCTGAGTAGTGTGCTCTGTTATGAGAAAATGTTCAGAGTTCCTATACATTGAGAAAAGCATTTGGTGCAATTAAAAGGAATTGCAAGCACTCTAAAATTTACATCGTTTGAAAAAATATAAAAAAGAATAAAAATTCAAAATCTAACCAGGTCTGTGAGGTGAGCCAGATCTTATCTTCCAGAAGAAGATTTTCCCTAACTTTGCGCTAATGTATGGAGGAGGAAAGCCTTGAAATTTTGGCATATGACCCTGCGAGCCCAAAAATTGAAGGAGGGGGTTCAAAGACAAAAATTATTAGATTTGGTTTAAGTTCCTGAAAAAAGCTTAGAAGAATTTCCTCCCAGAAGATAAAGGCCCATTTCCTTATAGATCCGGTCACAAGTAATAAAAAATTAATATGTGTTATCTTTTACGATTCGATCACGTCGTCTCCCAAATGGCGCCATCAACGTACGATCACAAGACTATAACCCGGGGGGAGACAGAGGGCTCATCTTTAAAAGAACGCAGCCAGACAGTCTGGGCGAAGGGACCCTCGGCCAATGGTCCGAGATCAATAACATATTAGGCTGACATCGGGGCAACGAAGATTATAAACGGACGTACTTCTATCAAACGTGCAACCATGTGCATTATGACGTGAGCCCTGTTAAGCACATATTCTTATGGGTCTCAGGGCTCATGTCTTAATGCACATAGTTCCGTTTGATAGAAATACGTCCAAACGGAGGTCTTATCCCGGCTCGGCGGGCCCTCGGACCCGGTTTCCGTTAGATTTGGCGCTGCTAAGCTTTCGTAATCAGTTTTCGTCGGAATTGCTCATCGGGGGATGAAAACGGCCCCCTCCCACCCCCCCTGCTCCCCCTCCCCTCGGGCCGAGAAACAAATATGATGTGTATATTGCGTATAAATCAAGTTACCGACGACGACGGAAAACGTGGAGACGGGCCGATTCCAGAATCCAGATCCGCTCGGCGCTTCCTATCCGTCTCGAGTTTCGAAATTTGATTAAACGTGGAGATCGTGCCTTTTTGTTGTCCTTCTCGCTCCCTCCCTCGCGAGGGGAGAGAGATAGAAAAACACACGGTCTTCCCTACGAATGCGTTTGTATTGCTTTGCGTGGAGCTTTTGCCAGACTTTGAACTCGCCCCCCTCCCCCAACCCCCCGCGCTCGGAGTATGAATCTTATTGTTAATAACAATGAGGAGCCTACGCTGGAAATGTTGTGTTTTCTAAGTCAGGCGTGTAAAAGTGGGGATTTTTACATGCGGGCGCGGGGCGTGCTACCCTTGCGTTGTTGAGAAATGGGGCTGATTTTTGAGTTTGAGCTTCTTTGCAGTCTGCGTGGCTTCCTCACTTGGTTGAAAGTGTAAAATACTTAAATATTGAAAAATAAATTGAATAAATTTACAAAATTTGATGAAACAAATTGAATAAATGAAAAAAATAAATTTAATAAAAAAAATATCGTAAACTTAAAAAATATCGTAAACTAAACAACATTTTCTCTATGGGGGAATGAAGTGCTCTGATGAGCTTTTTCTCTCTGAAATGAGAGTTTCCGCTTTTTACTGAATTTATATCGCACAAGCAAAATCACCAAATCTCTTTAAAAATAAAAGTTGCACACATTATTCAGGGTCAACATTCAGGACCTTCGATTGAAATGTAAGGGATATCCCAAATGCTAGTGAAATTTTAACCGGAGGATAAATTCTTAAAAAGAAGTAATAGCATCGGGCTTCAGTAGTCTTACAATTAATGATTCCTCGATTATTAATTTTCTACCCCAACAACTAATTCGCTGTTAAAAGGGCCCAGTCCGACCACAACGCCCCGTATAAAAGGCCTCAGAATAAGTACATAAACTAACTTTGGTTTTTTTTTGTCCTTGACCACGCAAGCGGTTGTTTATTTACGGTTAAGCCGAAGCTACGGCCGTCTGAAAGGAAACCACCGTCGGGTTTGTCTTTCTTTCTCTCGGCGGTGGATACTCAATTTGGTAACCTCATTCGCCCTGCTTTATTCACTCGAGCTCCCTGAAATACGCTTTGAAATCAAGCGAGGCGTGATATTAAAAAAAAAAAAGGGAGCACGCACCCGGTTTACTCCATGTCCACGCTCGTGCGATCAAACTCTTACTCGCAGCTGGAATGTGGGTTCACCGAGAAGAATTAGTGGTTATCATTACAAAAGTATAGTAGTGTTTCATATGAACTACATTTTCCAAGAAGGACCGGTTATTTCTGGCTCATCCAAGAAAACACCTATCTGCATAGTAGTTCCTCATTAAAAATATGTCATATACATATATACATATGAGAACTTAAAGGTACTTTCCTGGGTGGAGGAAGGGGTATAAAATGACAGTATACCCCAAACACAGAGGAGATAACTCCGCATCCTTTGGTGCAAAAAACACAAAAATGGTAGAATAATTTTTCTTGATTCCAAATTTCTCTGAATTTTTATGGATTGTGAGCTTGAATTTCCCTGATTTTTCAATGTTTCGCGGAGTATCTTGAAATTGAAAAAATGCGATGTTATGGCAAAAGAAAAATTTTCGAGATTCTGTGCTAAACATTTTGAGTCTTCGCTTTAAAGTGCATTTTGCCTCATTTCATCGCGATCAATGGGAGTAATAACCCCAAAAAGCTGTATTTTTACCATTTAGTGACTTCGGAACAAACTCAAACATTTATGTTCCGCAACTTTGGAACCGGATCCTTACCAACATGGACATAACATGTTGTGCTATCCCCCTCTGTTACACGGAAGTATTAACTGTTTTGCTAAAACTTACCCACCTCAAAATTAGGCATGACTCTTTAATACATTACGCACTTCTTTGAAATCTTCCCTTTTCGCCCCTTCTTTCCCATAGCTTATCGAGACCCGACACAGGGGGTCCAAATAACCGATCCCTACGAAAATCGTCGACTCAATCTTGAGACCTTTCAAATCATGCTCGAAGACACCCTCATAATCCGAGGCCATAGCTGCTTCCAAAGCTTCGCGCGCACTTTCGCCCCACTTCAGAGTGACCACAAAAGCTACAGCGTTTTTGCGAACGAGCACCAGGTCTGGCTTGTTCGGCTGAACCCCGACATGCAAAGGTGCCAGCACCGCTTCAAAGGCCTCCGGGTCTTCGTAGGCTAGAATCGTGAAAATCGGACCCACGAAAGACACCCGCTCCTTTGTCACCAACGGACAAGCCAGATGGAAAAGGCCGTGAACCGCCGAGGCCAGTTCTACCATCGTCTCTTCGGACAGCGCTAGATTTTTTACAGCCTTCACGAGTTTCATCTTCGCAGCGGAAGAGATATTGCGAGAATTTTTATAATAATTTGAATCTCGCGCCAAAGTCGTCCCCAGGGCGTAAGCAGCATCCTGATTGGTCGCTAGGAACCCGTTTTCGGTGACCATCCTGACATAGCCGGACTCCTTGAGGAAACTGAAAAAAATGTCGCCAGTTGCGACTGCATCCTTCTCACATTCTGTAGCATTGCCACGAATAGCGTGGAAAATATCTTTCCCGATCGTATTGTTGAGACGCGCGAATTTTGGCAGATCGTTCATATCCCGAAGAATGGCCTTCTCGACCAGGGATCCGATTTCAGGTCGCGAGATGAGGCCTAGAAAATCGTCTTTCAACGGCTCAATATATTCAGCCCAGTAGGGCGCAAATTTTCGTTTATTTACAAATTCAAGCGAGGAAATTGTGTTGTACACGTGTATACTAGAATTAGTGACAGCGTATCCATCGTAATACGACGTGAATCTAGGTAGACATTCTGCGAGATCAAATTTCTCGAGTAAATTTTCTACTTCTCCCTCAGTGAGGCCTAGGTACTTCGCGTACTTTTCATTATCATTGAAAGCAACTCTTTCGATGCAGGCTGGATAAGGATCCACGTGGGCTAAGCGGTCCGTGGACACAGATCCAACACTAAAACTCTTCTCAATGTGCTCGTTACCCTCCACCCACTTCTCTAGTATCACCCTAAAATCCAATACCGCCCCATCTTGCTCCACAATGTTATATTTTAAAATAGCACGTGTTAGCGCGTCGATCTCGTCGATCAGAATAATTATCCTTTGAAGATAATGTAAGTACACCGCCGCAGTGTAATCGATTGTGACTCTGTCGAACCGGAACTCGCTCACACAATCGTAACTAAATTTTTTAGCCTCGGCGATTTTCTCCTCGGCGGTTAGATTGAATAGCGTTGGATCTGTGTTGTTTCTTATATCGCTGAAAATTTGGCATACGTGCCTTCTGAAGCTGTCGCGGTCTGTTGTTCCTAAAAGAGGTCGGAAATTGATGTATACCACCGGGTACTTCCGGAAATGAGCTTTGAACAAGTTTTTTTTCTTGGTGTAGATTTCTGCTCCCTCGAAAATTTTACGGGCCTGTTCCTCGTTGTTGGTGATACTGAAAAATTCCTCCATCATTTTCAGGTTGGTAGTTTTGCCGAACCGCAAGGGTGCTGTGAGATAAACATGCTTGGAGGGAAGCTCGATGAATTCCTTCAGCCATAACGTTTTGTCGACGAATGTTTTACTTGACCGTATTTCGCCAAAAAATGAGGTTGCTGTGATCTTTCCATCTGTAACGTAAGCAAATTTTAAAAACTAGTTTTTCCTGTTCGAATAATTTTTCCAAAAACTGCGTCTTATATAAGTGTGACAATGTGCCAATAGATCAGATACGAATTTAAACACCACGTGATTCGTTTTCTCTTTAAATTTCATGTTAAAAGCTATCAACGAAACGGGAAGCTCGGAAATCAGATCCTACGTCAGCTTTTAAAATTTACACTTACCACTGATAAAATAACAATCATACAAATTAAATCATTCGCATTTTCTCAAATAGTGTCAATTCTTAAGCGTACCATGTAAATGTTACTTCCCGTTCAGTGGCGAGGCGTGAATGATCGATTATCGATATGTCCCCATTTGAGGCTATGGTAAAGAATCGATTATTAAGGTGTTCGCTGCAAACACTCTGTTGATCGATCCTTTTCCATAGGTTTCAATGGTGGATCAATCGATATATCGCAAAGTATGCCACGCCACTGCTCCCGTTGTGTGAATAAAATATTACAAAACTTTTAAAGAGGAAACATGAAACGGAGGGCTCCAGGTCGTACCTTGTCTGGTGCCCCATTTATGCACGTGGTCATCAAGTTCATTCATCGATATGGGTTTGGTTTACCTATCCACGCCATTGACAAGAGTAAAATCTGGAGCAGTGCAGTGCTCCTAAAGTTAATGAGTGAAACGATTGTGTCAACTTCGCCGTTGGTCAAATTGCCTACTCGTTGAAATGAAGGAGGCTTGAAAGCACAATTTTTTCCGCACGAGATGTTTCTTAAACCAACATTTCCCCCATTTTCAATTGATTCCAAATTCATACGCTACAAATAAGCTGCAATATGGGAGTCATCAGGGGTTATTCGACAGTCGTGTTTTCGTAAATTTGAGGGGGGGGGGGGGGTCAACCAAAGTGGTAGCTACAGAATTTATTCGAAAAGATAAGACAAACTGCTAATTTTTGCGTTCTAGATCATCATCTATCCCTGAAAATTGAGCGTGTTTCGCAATTTTCCGAACACGTGTGGTGACAAAATAAGATGAAAAACCACTTAACAACGCACTGAAAGCTCTCATTTTGTAGACTATACTTATATTGTGTGAGCTCGGCATTAGATGAAGCTCAAACTTAGGCCAACAACTACAACTTTACCCGGGCAGAAGAATTTTCCATCATAATGTAAACACTGCAATTTTATATTTCAAGGGCAATAAATACTATTTAAAACAAATTATTCTGAACCCATCGGAGTCAATAAGACGATCTCACCTGAAATCGATTATTGACTCTACATTAAAATGAAGAAGAAACAGGGTTATCAAGGGGCAAATCATAGGGTAGGTACAGATAGGTGGCATAAGAAATAAAATGTACAAACCATCAGTTTTTCCGGTGAGGCAATTCGTCCAGCCAAGAAGTAAGGTTAGCAAAGACCACCGCATCCTCCAAGTTCTTTATATTTCTCAAGGTTCTGATGGGATTATGTCAAGGAAGTCAGGAAACCAATACTTGAGTCTTATAACGGAGAAAAATCCAAAACTCAAAGAATGCTGCATTTTAAGAAAAATGCAAATTGGTGGAACAAACTGGAGTTGGAACAACGATAATGATAAAGCAGATGACGAGGTGCACAAATGTCTGGGAGCCAAGTTTGTTGACTCTTTATCCTATTTTGTAACTTTTCAGTGCAAAATTCCGCGAACAAAGATGTCAGAAAAATGAGTAGACTGTCTCTTTAACATGTTCATTCATTCCAGAACCACACAAAGAATGCACCATGCACATCCGCAATTCACACAAAAATAACACACAACAATTCACAACAATTTCACACACAATAACTGACTCAAAACAGTCAAAACTACTACAGGGAGTTTATCGACCGGCACTTTTTGAATGAAAAGAATCATCAGATAAAGGAGTTATTACATTTCATCGCGTTCCCTAACAGTCACACAATTAACCTCCTTTTGATTATTTCCTACCGTCTATCGTACGAGTAACCCTTTCTAAATGTGTGGTCATGTATGTCTGAGCTTTTTTAAGATATATTTAAAGTTGATATATACGATATTGATTGATCAACTCTTTGACAAAACGTGTGTCGTCGTTCGAGCGTTTTGAGGGAGTTTAAGTCTGTATCCCATCGTTAGATTGTGAGTGTTTTATTGTGAAATTTTCTAGTTGTAAATATAAGGAATTGCGCCTTGTTTCTGATTGAATTCCGAAAAGCATACAGATCATTTGAAAGAATCATAGGATGTGCACTGTGCAGAGACGCCTCATAGTCCGTTCAATTTTACACCCTCTGGTTTTCGGTCGGATCGACCTAACCTTGGTCTAGATAACCGACATTCTCAGTAACAAATAAGATAACTTTACATGAATAAAATGTTTCATCACAAGAACTGATGGAATTCGGTCTCTGAGATCACAAACTTTGATTACCTACACTAAAAACTTTTGTGCTGTATAATGTGACGCAGAGTTTTATTTTCGTCGATCATTCTCATCCATAACTAAATTGGCAATGATAACAATGGGCTAGTGTGCCATTCTATAAAATAGTATCATTAAATAGCATTGTTCGCGAGCAATTTTTAGGAGAGAAATGTTTTTCTCTCCTAAACAACTAGTTGGTGCTTTGGAGGGGAATGTATTCGTTCCTAAGCAGGGCCGGATTTACTTACTTGCCGCCTATGGGCCGCCTGTATTTTGCCGCCCCCTTCTCGTCCGTTTTGAAACATCAATAAAAACCCTCAAGTGAACGTGCCGCAGAGGGAGGGGTGCATAAGACGCGTTTACCTACTCGTGTTGAATACATTTTTTTGCGAGAGCCTTGTCAACACTACTAGCAAAATTTCACGGAACTTTGCTTCTCCATTGACAAGAAATGAACCAAAAAATCATGAAAGAACAAACATAAATGTGGTTTAATAATTTTAACTTCCGCCGCCGCGCCGCACTGATCGAACTGTGTTTGGCGCAATGCGTGAAGTATTCCGACAGTCTTGTAGGCGCTATGCGTTTCACGCCGACCGCTGCGAACGCACTGTGTTGGACGCAACGCGTGAAGTATTCATGCGTTTCACGCCAACCGCTCCTGACCGCAATGTGTTTGGCGCAATGGGTTAAGTATTCGTGCAGTCTTGTAGGCGCTAATATATGTTATATGCCAACCGCCGCGCCGATGGCTTGTCCTTTTCATCTCAAGCCCTCTTGCTTTTTCGAAGAATTCTTTTGCGTAAAAATTTCCCGCAAACTATGCTATTTTATAATGCTATTTTATAGGATGACACATTGGTAAAAAAAATCTATCCTGGCCATATTCCCCGAAAAAAAAACCCATATTCGGCACCCAGCGTTTAGTTATTATTCAGTGTCTAGCATTAGGTTTCCACTTTTGAATTAAAATTCTCGGATGATTATTTTAACCAACCTGGTAATCTAAAACCACCCTTCGAGAATGACCGAGCTGAGTGTCGCATGATTAAAAACAATTATTTTTACTATAAGTGTATCATTATACTTTTTTTTAATTGGATGTTTCAGAAACTTTTTAGGGAGGGAGGAGGACGAGCATGGAGCGGTTTTTAATCATTTTACTTCTTGGCTGTGCGAATTTCCTTGCTGAGACAATCGATGGTTTGTAAAGAATCTTTCCACCGTCAGCTTCCTGTGCCTTTCACGATTTCTTAAGGTTTTTTTTTCTTCGTTTCGCACATTTATAAATAGTCCATTATCGAGAGGGCAACCTGCTTCGATCTATCTCGATTATGTTTCCATGCGTTTAAACGTCAACACAGTTTTCTATTTTACGAGGAGCTCTGTTATTAACACTTTCCTTCACATCCATACAAAATTCTTCAGCTGTTCGTACAATTTTCTAAAGAGTTTTCCTCAGCTAAAATTTAAAATTAATATTTGTTGAGATGGACACTACGCTGCGAAAATATGACCGTGAGTCAAAGAGCCCCTTCAAATCGATGCTATGCAATTTGAGCTACGGAGAAGTCGAAATATTTGTATCACACATTTCGGAACCCTTGCTGAGAAGTTTCAAAATTTCTGTTCCTTTTTTTCCTTTTTTTCGAGGGGCAAACATTATTGTTTGAGTCTATTGTTGTTGTCTCATCTCGATTTCTAGGGAAATCAGCCTAGTATCTTGAAACATTGTGCATTTACTGTAGATTATAAGGAGCACATGCAAATGATTTCAAAGGAGAGTATTCCTTACTTTACTGGTAAAAGAATTAAGCACCGAAGGCATTTCGGCATTAAGTATTGTTAGTAGGCCGATTCTAGTTAAAGCTGTTCAATGATCAGTTACAGGAGAGAAATACAGAAATTTTCATGTAATTATGTTAACCAGCTCTGGAACTGAAAGGAAGGAAGGTGGAAAATCGATTAGATGAACAAGATTTTTTGTGGATATGCCTACAGTGAGAGTCTCATCCTTCGATAGTAACTGCTTCATATTCAGCTCCAGGCAAAGGTTGTCTAAGACCATCACACTAGGGTCACCTATTCGAGACGGAGCACCAGCATACGCAGTGGATCGAGTCAATGGGAGAGGTCGCACATGATTTCAAAACTTTAAAGGTGTATATCTCCATTAATATGAAATTTTGATGTTTCAAAAGGAGTTTCAATGGTTTTCTCGTAAAATTTTCTAATCACCTCTTAAAATTAAAATTGTGATGCGATAAACGTAAAATTTTACAATTTTTGTCAAAAATTTCATATCCGACTTCTTCCATTCACTCGATCCACTGTGCGTAGCGGAGGACGGAAGAAATCAATCAAAAGTTTTTGAAAATTTGAATTATTTTCATAAAAATCAAATTGTTTTGATTTACAGGTAGAAAAACTGCAGCATCCTCAGTCTTCACTGAAATTCGGTCTAGTAAAACATTTGTGGACAAAACATTATGGCTGAAAGAATTTTACGAGCTACCCTCCAAACACGTGTATCTCACAGCCCCCTTGCGGTTCGGCAAAACAACCAACCTGAAAATGATGGAGGAATTCTTCAGCATCACTAACGACGAAAAGCAGGCCCGCGAACTTTTTGAAGGCACCAACATCCACTCCAAAGAAAAGAGTTTTTTCAGCGCGCACTTTCGAAAATACCCAGTGATATACCTCAATTTCAAACCCCTCCTGTCAACGAGGAGTAAGCTTACCTTTAGGGAAAACGTATGCCAAATATTCACCGATATAAGAAACAAAACAGACCCACAACTATTCAATCTAACCGCCGAGGAGAAAATAGCCGAGCTAAAAGAATTCAATAAAGGGTGTACAGACGAGTTTGAATTCAAAAACGCTACGATTGACTACACGAAAGCGTTGCACACACATTATGGTCAGAAAATAATCGTTCTAATCGATGAGATGGACGCGTTGACGCGCGCAAATTTGAGAAACGACGTCGTGGAACAAAACGCGGTGGTATTGGAATTCGGGACTATACTTAAACAGTGGTTGGAGAGAAACGAGTACGTTGAGAAGAGTTTAAGCGTCGGAGCCGTGTTCACAGACGAACTATCCCATGTTGATCCCTATCCAGACAGCCTGGATAGAGTAGCTTTCAACGACCAGGAACGGTTCGCTAAATATTTCGGCCTGACTGACAAAGAATTAGAAGATTTATTCGGGAAATTCTCTCTTTCAAGCAATCTACCAAGATTCAAGTCGTACTACGATGGGTATACAGTCACAAATTCCAGTATGCAGGTGTACAACACAATATCTCCAACAGAGTTCGTGATGAGACGAAAATTTCTGCCCTACTGGGCGGAATCGGTGATCGAACCTTTAAAGAATGATTTTCTTGGTCTTTTTTCCCGACCGGAAATTGGGTCTCTGATCGAGAAGGCCATTTTCCCGGACATGAATGATCTGCCAAAATTCGCACAACTCAACTCTCCGGTCGGGAAGGACATGTTTCACATGATACGCGGCAATGACACCGTCGATAAAATAAATCTAGCTAGGGCCGGCGATGTTTTTATTAAGTTCCTCGAGGAGTCCGGTTACGTCAGAATGGTCACCGCCGACGGGTTTCTAGCGACCAATCAGGACGCTGCTTTCGCTCTAGGGACGACTTTGGCGCGAGATTCGAACTTCTACGAAAACGCGCGCAATATCTCCTCCGCCGCGAAGATGAAACTCGTGGCGGCTGTGAAAAACTTAGCTATGTCCGAGGAAACAATGATAGAGCTGGCAGGGGCGGTTCACGGGCTTTACCAACCGGCTTGTTCGTTGGTGACAGAGAAACGCGTCTCATTCGGCGGCCCGATTTTCACGATTCTGGCCTACGCAGACCCGGAGGCCTTCGAAGCAGTCTTGGCGCCCGAGCATGCTGGGGCTCTGACTTCTGAGTGGAGTCCTGACGTAGCGCTCGTCCGTAAGGATTCTGTCGCTTTTGTCTTCAAGTTAAGGCGGGGAGAAAGTGCCCGCAATGCTTCCGAAGCAGTTATGGCCTCGAAATATGAAAAAGTGCTTGAAGAAAACTTAAACGGTCTGAAGATCGAGTCGACGATTTTTGTGGGGATAAGCTTAGACGACCGGTGTGAGGTCTCGGTAAGCTTTGGAAAGCAAGGAATGTCAGGGAAAGAAATCAAAGAAGTAAGCAATCCAATCGATAAAAGTGACTGAGTAACGGAAAAATCAACAGATGAAGAAATGACACAGAAGAAGTGGCGTTCGGATATGAAGAAGTCTATGAAAAAGACATGAAGAGTCATCAGGTAACTTAATAATTGTAAACACTTCATTGGGGCACACGTTACATATTGCTCGTAGCATTTACAGCAAGCTGAAAACTGCATCATCCAAAGATGCGTTACACACCCTGACTCAGTAATATAATAATGGATAGAGGTATACTTTTTTCCCACGTTCGCAAGAAGTTTACCAAACATGAAGTTGCCGTGCAGTTAAGACCTGTCACAGCTTGGTGATTTATGGCATTGGCTAATCCAGTAAATTGGCAACATTGCTTTTTCTCAATTTAAACGTATTGAAATGTATCGATGCTTGGAGGGGCCAAGTGATTCGGCAAAAATCGATTATTCAAGACAGGTTTAAACACAGGAAAACCAGTGTTGCCAAATTGCTGGATCCGCCTCTGTACTTAGCGAAGCCTCGTCATTGGTGAGTGCCAAGAATACAAACTTCACCATCGAGTACTTGTAATAAGGAAATAATCGCTAATTTTGATACCATTTCATTTAATCAATTTCGAAATAAGCAAGCCACGCCTTTCATGTACACACCAAAATGTGCGATAGTAGTTTTGAGTCGTTACCAGCAATGGCTGAAGATTAGAACCCGAATTTTTTTATGTTGTTTTAGGAATGTCTTAAAAAGCTGATTTTAGCATGTTAAATTTGTTGTCTTATTAAAGCTGATTGCAAATGTTGAAATAATTCCAATTAATTTAAGGTTATTTAGAAAATGAGGTANGGAGGATGGAGCGGTTTTTATTCATTTCACTTTTTGGCTGTACTAATTTCCTCACTGGGAAAACGAATGGTTTGTAAATTTTTTTTCATAAAGCAGTTTTCTGTGTCGCAAATAGTACAAAAAGTAAACACAAATAATTGATTCCAGATATGCCAAATTGCTGCGTTTAGAAATAAAAACAGTTTGTCAACTTGCGAAGATCACCTCAGTCTTTATACTTGACATCCATACAAAATCCTATAGCTGTTCGAGGAATTTGCAACCTGTGATCTGTAGGGGTTTCTTCCGACTGAAATTTAGGAAAAATACCAATTCGTTGGGATGATTTCGAAGCAGCAAAAAATGAGCATGAATCAAAGAGCCCCTTCAAATAGATGGTATGCTATTTGAGCAACGGCAAGGTCAAAATATTTGTATCATACGTTTCACATTTCTTGCTGAGTTTCTTTAAAATGCTTCTATTCCTACATCCCAATTTAGAGAGGGTCGAACGTTAGATATTGCTTGAACTTTTCATGAAGTAATTGAACGAATTTAACCAAAATTAGCCAGATTTTATTTCAAGTTTCCTTCTTTCTGAATCCTTTTAGAGGAGAACAAAGCAACTAAATATCTTGAGACTTTATTATCAAAAACATATACACATGATTTCAAAGCCAAATAATTACTACTCAGTTATCTCGTTAACTAATAGTACATGAAAGAAAATCTGGCAACATTTCCTACAGTAAAATTCCAGGGTTACCATAATTTCCTCGTCATCAAATTCCCTGACTTTTTTATTTTCCCTGACTTTTTTGCCTTTCCTTGACTCCAAACTTTTCTGACTCCTTGATTTTCCCTGATATTATGATAAAATTTTCACTTTGGTCTTTCCCCTTAAATTACATTCAGTACTGGTAAACGCACCTCGAACTATTTCCTGATTTTTCCCGGTCACCGGAAATTCCCTGACTTACCCGGTTTTCCAGACTGCTGGCAATCCTGCAAGAATAATTTTGGTTAAAATCGTACAGTTTTCAGTTTGAAGGAAAAAAAAATTGCTGTAATCTTTTCGTCGACGAACTGGTTTTCCCCCCTTTACATTGCTCCTAACACTAATTAGCGATTAATTTCTTTCACAGATGTAAAAAATGCGGCATCCTCAGTTTTTGGTGAAATACGGTCAAACATTGAAACATTTGTGGACAAAACATTATGGCTGAAAGAATTTCACGAGCTACCCTCCAAACACGTCTATTTCATAGCACCCTTGCGGTTCGGCAAAACAACTAACCTAAAAATGATGGAGGAATTTTTCAGCATCACTAACAACGAAAAGCAGGCCCACAAACTTTTCGAGGACACCCTTATCTACTCCAAAGAAAATAATTTTTTTGACACATACTTTAGAAAATATCCAGTAATATACTTCAATTTCCAACCTCTTTTATCCACGACGAGTAAGCTAACCTTCAGGAAAAACATATGCAAAATATTCACTGATGTAAGAAACAACACTGACCCAAATTTATTCAATCTAACCACTGAAGAAAAAATGGTCAACCTAAAGGAATTTAATGAAGAGTGTGCGGACAAATTTGAATTCGGAAAGGCTACGATTGACTACATGAAGGCTTTGCACACACACTATGGTCAGAAAATAATCGTTTTGATCGATGAAATGGACGCGTTGACGCGCGCTACTTTAAAAAGGGATGTCGCGGAGCAAGACGCGGTGGTAATGGAATTTGGACACATACTTAAACAGTGGTTGGAGGGAAATGAGTACATTAAAAAGAGTTTTAGCGTCGGATCCATGTTTACAAACGACCTAATTCATGTCAACCCCTATCCAGATTGCATCGAGAGAGTAGTTTACAACCTTAAGGAACAGTACGCAAAATACTTCGGCCTTACCGAAACGGAGGTAGAGCATCTACTCGAGAAATCCTCTCTGGCAGGCGATTTACACAGATTCAAATCGTACTACGATGGATATGCTGTCACGAATTCTAGTATACGTGTGTACAACACAATTTCTCCTACCAAATTCGTAAAGAATCGGAAATTCGCGCCTTACTGGGCCAAATCTGTTGAGCCATTGAAAAACGATTTTTTGGGTTTCTTCTCACGACCGTTAATCGGATCTCAGATCGAGAAGGCTATTTCTGAGGACATGAACGATCTGTCAAAATTCGCCCGCCTCAATCATTCGGTCGCGAAAGATACGTTCCACGATGTTCGTGGCGATGCCATCGTCGATGCGAGGAATACGGCTGCGGCTGGAGACATTTTCTTCAACTTCCTCTATGAGTCCGGTTATGTCAGGTTTGTCACCAAAGACGGGTTCCTAGCGACCAATCAGGATGCTGCTTACGCCCTGGGGACGACTTTGGCGCGAGATTCGGACTACTACCAATACGCGCGCAGTATCCCATCCGCTGCGAAGACTAAACTCATTAAGGCTGTGAAAAATTTAGCGCTATCTGACGAGACGATGATAGAACTGGTGGCGGCCGTTCACGGAATTTTTAATCCGGCTTGTTCGTTGGTGACCATGGAGCGGGTGTCTTACGTTGGCCCGATTTTCGCGATTTTGGCCTACGAAGACCCGGAGGCCTTTGAGGCAGTGCTGTCACCCTTGCGTGTTGGACTTCAGCCGAAGAAACCAGACGTGGTGCTCCTCCGCAAGGATTCTGTCGCTTTTGTATTCGCGTTGAGGCGGGGGGGAAGTGCCCGCAAAGCTTCAGAGGCTGCTCTGGCCTCGGAATACGAGAGCATCTTTCAGCAGGACTTTAAGGATGCCAAGATTGAGTCGAAAATTTTTGTAGGAATTAATTTAGATTTTCATTGTCATGTATCCATTGGATATGGGAAAGAAGGCATACAAGAGAAAGAAATTAAGGAGGTCGGCATAGGCGGTCCAATCAGATGACGGACAAACATGCACAATTTTTACCTAGTTTTTGGTCCTTGTGAATCGGGGAATAATTTTGAGCGTGAGACAGGAGAACGCAAATGTTTTTCAATTAGTTGAAACCTCTTCTCCCATCTAATTTTTTCAATTGAAAGACGGATATTCTAGACTAGACATTAATTTTTACGTACACTGGCTAGGTGTAAGCCTATTAAGCTGCTCTGATAATTATTCTGAGAGCTAGGGGAACTTGATAAATTGCGATTTAACTTTTTACGAGAGCACAGATACATCTGATAGCTTACCAAAGTGAGAGCTACACCATCCAGAGAAACATAGCAAGCAAACTCCTATACTCAGAAATTATGTCATGGATGGAAGAATGAACTTTTTCTATGTTTGTAGGTTTAAAAGTAAACAATTCATTTTCAACCAAAAACGAGACGGTCATGCAGTTACCACGAGTTACCACGAAGTTTTATGTAATGATTCATCATTTGAAATAACAATAATTCCATTAACTGTACAACAACTTCAAAATCATTGTAACCGTTGACGCCGCAAGTTTGAATAATCGCGTCAAACCCAGTGCGACCGGCCGCCAGCGCGGCGTGCCGCGGGGCTGACGCGCACGGTGCGTAGCAGCGCCTTGCAAGACTGCCGGATACTTCATGCATTGCACGTACAGCACAGTGTGCACGGCGGCCGGCGGCGCATAGTAGCGCCTTACAAGTCTGTAGGATACTAGATGCATTGCGTGTATACCACGGTGCGCCATGCGCGATCAAGACGTTGAAAAGTCTTATTTAGAACCCACCGCAGTGCACACCATTTCCGAACAGTGCACACCGCGGGCTCGGAGCTTGCAATCCTAGGAGCACAGGATTGTAGAGATTTTGCATGCCTGTATGTTTTCTGGTGAAAAAATAATTTACGAGTGGAAATTTTTCAAGGTGGAATGCTATTACGTTTTATCGTTCGGAAAACGTCGAACTTAGCTATCTTCCGGGGAGAGAAAGTGGACATTTTTTATATCACAAATGAGGCGAAATTTCCAGGGAGATATATTCTCAGTATCATACATACATACATAAAGCCGCTTTTATAGCGCCGCCTCGCGCTCTGCGACGCCCAATCGCCATTGCCCCCGCAGTATGAAACTCGCACAAAAATGAACTCTGGCAATCGAACCTAACTTTGGCAATTTTTGCAAAACGACCCACGTACGTACACGACTAATATCGAAAAACTATNGGGGGGGGGGGGGTCAGTCTGTTGGCGATTTCCTGGGGCCGTGGTCGCTTCGAGGAGCCAGTCCGCCCCTGACCACATCTGAAATGCGTAGACGCACAACGACCAACTCAATATTACTGGCAGTGAGTTTATTTACCTACAGACACTTTTTAAATCAAAAGAATCATCATGATAAAGCGATTACGGTGGTATTACGTTACTGAGTAATCATTCAATTAGCCTCCTTTTGATCATTCATGGCAAGGAACGACCTACTGTATGAGAAATCCTTTCTAAATGGATGTTCTCGTGTATATGTGCGCGTGTTTTCTTCAAGGGAGCTTTAAAGTGGTTAATTACGATACTGACTGGTCAAATCATTCACAAAACTTGTGCTATTGTTCGAAATGTCTGAGGAAGGATTAATCTGAATTCCGTCGTTGGATTGTGAATGTTTTAATCTGAAATTTGCAGGTGGTAAGTACAACGAATTGTGCTTTGTTTCTGCTTAAGATCTTGAGAATATACCTACAGATTGTTTTAAAAAAATGTAGGATACGCAGAGAGGCCTCATAATCTGTTTAATTTTACAGCCCTCGATTTTTGGTAGGATAAACCGAACTTTGTCATAACCCAAGTACCAGTAAAGACTACGCTGCTTAGTGTTCCATGAAAAATAACTTAAGTTATATGAACAGATAGATTTCGGTCTCTGAGACTGCAAACTTTGGTTACTTTGGACTGACGACTTTGGAGTTCCATAATACCTATGAAGCTGAATTTTCTTTTCTGACCATACTTATTTATAATATATAATTGCATTAATTGGCTAGGACAACAACCTAAACACTTTTTAGTCTGTCAATATCCAATATTTATGATTCTTTTGGCATAGTCTGTTCCAGACATCTTTTAGGAGGAGAGGAGGAGGAGGAGGATGGAGCGGTTTTTTATCATTTCACTTCTTGGCTGTATTAATTTCCTTACTGGGAGAACGGATGGTTTGTAAATTTTCTTTCTTAAGGCAGCTTTCTGTTCGCATCTTTGCGTCTATTGTTTCTTTTTTCTTTTTTAAAGTAATTACAAATAATTGATTCAAGATAAGACACCTTGCTTCGGTAGGTATAAATCGACGGTGTAAGTCGGCAATCGCATAACTCGGTTTGCAACGTCGCAGACTTCCTTTCGTACTTTATTTTTTAAACGAATGACTACTCAACGTCAATTCTTCATAACTGCCGTGATTTTTCTTCTCTGTGCGAAGAAAATTCTGCAAAAACTTTAAGGAATGATGTCAATTTGTTCTCCTTTACAAAAATAACATAGAGGCGGAAATTTTCAGACACCGCAAACGAGTTATGTGATTGCCGACTTTCACCGTCGATATATAGATTATTCAACATGCGTATAGATGTAAATAGTTGAGGAAAAAACACTAAGAAGTGGCCCGAATACTGTATGTAACAAAGTGAAGAAATGGTGCTGGGTCTACACCATTTCGCGGGGAAAACAAAGCCAAGAAGTTCCAAAAACTATAACTAGAGTGAAAAATATTTATTTTTTTTTAACTCTAATGAGTACCAGTACAAAACTTTAAGACAAATTCACTTCCGTTCACAGATGTAAAAAATGCGCCATCCTCAGTCTTCGGCGAAATACGGTCAAGTAATGAAACATTCGTGGACAAAACGTTGTGGCTAAAGGAATTTTATGAGCTAAACACATCCTCTAAACACATTTATCTTGCGGCACCCTTTCGGTATGGGAAAACGACCAATCTGAAAATGATGGAGGAATTTTTCAGCATCACTAACAACGAAAAGCAGGCCCGTGAACTTTTCGAAGACACCCTTATCCACTCCAAAGAAAAGAATTTTTTTGACGCACATTTTCGAAAATATCCAGTGATATACTTCAATTTCCAACCTCTTTTATCCACGACGAATAAGCTTACCTTCAGGGAAAATATGTGCAAAATATTCACTAATGTAAGAAACAACACTGACCCGAAACTATTCGATCGAGCCATGGAGGAAAAAATCGTCAAATTAAAAGACTTTAATAAAGACGAGTTTGAATTCGGAAACGTTATGATTGACTATACAAAGGCACTGCACACTCATTATAGCCAGAAAATAATCGTTCTGATGGATGAAATGGACGCCGCGGCTCGCGCTTCTTTGAAACGGGTTATTTCGGAACAGAACGCAGTCAAAATGGAATTTAAACACATACTTAAACAGTGGTTGGAGGGAAATGAGTACATTGAAAAGAGTTTCAGTGTCGGATCCGTGTACTCAGATGATCTACTCCATATCAACCCCTATCCAGATTGCATCGAAAAAGAAGTTTACAACCTTAAGGAGTCGTTCGTGAAATACTTCGGAATTACCGAAACAGAGGTAGAGCATCTACTCGAAAAATCCTCTCTGGCGGACTATCTACCTAGATTCAAGTTATACTACGATGGTTATTCTATCGCCCACTCACCTAAAAAGATTTTCAACACAATTTCACCGACCAAATTCGTAAAGAATCGAAAATTTGCGCCCTACTGGGCCGCATCGATCGAACCATTGAAAAACGATTTTCTGGGTCTTTTCTCACGACCGCTGATCGGATCTCTGATCGAGAAGGCCATTTTTTGGGACATGATGAAACTGCCAGAATTTCCACACCTTAAACCTGCAATCGGGAAAGATATGTTCCACGCTGTTCGCGGCAATGCTACAGTCGATCCTGAGGTTGTGGCTGCAGCTGGCGACATTTTCTTCAACTATCTCTATGAGTCTGGTTACATCGGTATGATCACCGTCGACGGATTTCTAGCGACCAATCAGGACGCTGCTTTCGCCCTGGGGACGACTTTGGCGCGAGATTCAAATTATTATCAAAACGCCCGCAATATCTCCTCCGCTGCGAAGATGAAACTCGTGAAGGCTGTGAAAAACCTAGCGCTGTCCGAAGAGCCGATGGTAGAACTGGCAGCGGCTATTCACGGCCTTTACCATCCGGCTTGTTCATTGGTGACCGAGGAGCGGGTGTCTTTCGTGGGCCCGATTTTCACGATTCTGGCCTACGAGGACCCGGAGGCCTTCGAAGAAGTGATATCACCCTTGCGTGTTGCATTTCAGCCGACCAAGCCAGATGTGGTGCTCCTTCGCAAAGATTCTGTCGCTTTTGTATTCGCGTTGAGGCGAAACGAAAGTGCCCGGGAAGCTGCCGAAGCTGCTTTAAGTTCGGAATATGAGTACGTCTTTGAGAAGGACTTTAAGGGTGTCAAGATTAAGTCGACAATGTTCGTAGGAATCAATTTGGATGTTCATTGTCGGGTATCGATAGGCTTCGGGGAAGAGGGAATACAAGTGAAAGAAATTAAAGAAGTAAGCAGTCCTATCGATGAGACTGGATGACAAACAAACATATAGAATTTGAAGCTGACAGATTCTTGTGACCGATTCTTGTGTCAATTTGCACTCAAATTATTTTTACTGCTTTCTCTGAGAGCGCATAAAGAACTGATTTCGCAGTTTCTTTCATAAATTTTTTTTCGAATATGGGAAATGATATAAAATTAGATTTAAAAGTGAGAGAATGCACCATCTAGTGATGTCGTTTAGCGGTTTTTCTTATTTAAACACATGTATTTTAGCAGAATAGATCATTTTGTCATATTACCACCAATGATTGTTTAATTTAGAAACCAGGGATATCCTCGTGTTCAGTTCACTTAGTGATTACACTTATAAACATGAAATTCATAAAATTTCAGACACCCGCAAATTCTTTATCAATGAATAATTTTGAGCACGAGACAAGTATGCACAAATGTTTTCCAAATGTTCGAAAACTGATATTTTCAATTGAAAGACGTGAATTCAAAAGACTTGAAAGTAATTTTAACTAAACGCACGCTGGCTGGGTCTATGTGTATAATTAAACCTATAAGCCTAAACTCATACTTACTGTGGGAGCTAATAGAACTTGAATAATTGCGATAATTTTTCATGAAAGTACAGATACATCCGATAGCATTTATATCAAACTGAAAGCTACGCCATCCGGAGAAGCATAGCGAGCCTTTATTCAGTAATTTTTTAACGAATGAAAGTATAAAAGTACTTCTGTACGTTTAAAAGAAAAAAAGTCAAAAATGAGACAGCCATGCAGTTAAGGCATGATAAGGCCTAGTGATTCTTGGGAGACTCAAGATGAGACCTCATCGTAACCAACCAAACTATTGAGTACTTGCAATCCTGAAATGATTATATTTTAACTCTGATAACATTGCATTTGAACTGTTTCGACAAGTTCTTAAGGAGATGCAGAAATGTGTTGGTAATAAGAGATTTTAAGTCATATTTCTGACAATGGCTTGAAATAACTTTTTTTCTCCGTTAGTTTGAAACGTAAAATTGTAGGTTTAGGCTAATTCTTAAGTTTAGAACTTTACAAGCGGAAATTCCTAGCTAGTCATTTGTTATTTGTCAAATATGATGGCAAGTGCTAATTTTATTCCTGTTGTTGGCAAGTTTTTTTTTAAGAAAATAAATGAATCCTAAATTGAGAGGTATCAAATGAATCCGGAGTTTTCAAGTATTCATTCGAAAGTCCATATTACCCATTTTTGTTTTATTTTCTCCCATCACTAAAAAAAAAAAAAAAAAAAAAAAATCCCCTATTCCTTGCGCACACACTGGAAAAAAACACATTGGATCTAGAGTCCAGACTCTTAAAAACATCGACAAGAAAAAATACTCTTGATTCAATCAGATTCAAGCTTAATTCAAGAACCAAGCCTCTTAATTTGAGCGGATTTTCTTTTGATTTAAGCTTAAATATGCTTGAATCAAGAGTCCTTTTTCTTGTCAATGTTTTCAAGAGTCTGGAACCTAGATCCAATGTGTTTTTTTTTCCATTGTAGAATTTCGTCGAAGTCAGAGTACTACGAAAAAGAGGGTGATGACCCGTACATTAAATCGTTTCATATTTTAAAGTGGACGCTGCCACCAGTGGAGCCTGGAGTGAGCTCACCTATGACTGAGCGATGCAATGGTGCGGAGCGGAGGGCGGAAGGGGTCAAGCGGGCAGATGAGGGGTCGCGCCGCCCTGCTAAGTTTAAAACCGAATCAATCACTGGTCGGATAAGAATAAACAGTGATTACGATGAACGGTGACTATGTTTCCATTAATCACTTCTAAATATTCAAATATCCGCCCTCCTCCCGACCCGCCCGCGTCCGCCAACAACAGCGGGACTCGAGCCTCCAGATCAAAATTTTGGATTGAGTCACAATTTCCGTTTAGGAATCAATCACCCCTTTCACCCTCCCCCTCCCCCGGCTACGTTCCCCCTTCTATCAATGATGCCTCCCCCACCTTCTCTTAACAAAAAGCCGCACAGTGGAACAAACTACTAAATAATTATTTCGTTTCATTTTATTTTACATCTGCCCTGCCTGTATGCGAATTGATGGAGAACGTCGAGAACAAATTTCAATTCTCCTCACGAAAATACGTAAGAAAAGTTTATAACCCTCAGTGAAGCGATTGGTATAGCTCTTAAGATCCCAAAAATATGAGGAGAGTTGCACGCAGATGATACAAAATAACTGAAAATTTGAAAATAAGGTACTAATTCTATGTATCACCGTGCACCTGACTTAAATATTACAGATAGGGTTGTTTTCATAGTCAATTCTTAAACAGTTTCTTACCTTAGGAGTCCCATTTGGTTTACATCATGCATGATTAAGGGAGGCTTAAGAAAATTCTTCTCAAATAGCATCACAAGAGTTTCATTCGAAAAAATCTTTCCCGTGCACGTAGATCTCTGCGAAAGCAAAGTTGGTAACGAGTGAAGCAGGGGATAAGCGTCAAAGATTGTCAACCCGGAATCTCCGCCATTTTTCTGGATCCTCAAGGTCTTCATAGGGCCCGATGTCCATACTCTCTCTATAAATGTACTCAAAATGTATGGGCCAAGTTATCTTCGAAAAGTACTCCACTGTGCCGCTAGCACCCTCGACACGACGTTATGCCGCACTAGATTGATCGACTTCTCACCATCCATCAAAAGCACACGCGACTCGAAAGATCCCACTTCGATTTATCGATGATCGAAACTTTACCCGCGAACGATGGGACCTCGATCGAGAGAACATCGACGGATGTATCGAAGGGGTGCAATGCATAACAAATCCGAACGCAGGTCTTGGGACGCATCCCGCCCCCTCCCCCCGATGGTATCCAGGGGGAGCCGTCACCACTTTCAGTTTTATTCCCCCTCGATTATGATTAATAGACCCACGTACCCTGGCGTTCTGAGGAAAAGCACCGTATGTACCTTTGGACGTTGCAAAATTGTCTGTGATCAAATACAAATTCTCTGTAAAAGTTAAATATGTTAGACTTCTTATTTTTGAGGGATTTTGGCCCATAAATTTAGCCTAGGATTTCTGGAAAATTCAAAGGAATATATAAATAACTTTCTCTCATAAATAAATATTTTATGGGAGGAAATTTGGCAACATTCAATGCTTCATACGGCGTTTTTCAGTACAGCAGGACCCGACGGCATCTCGTCACGACCTCGGTGACGCGAGTCATGCGTGAGGCGAGGTACTCCGAGCAGGTTTGTCAAACTGTGGGCCTAAAAATCTAGAAATCGCACATTTAAATTAAGACTCCCAAAGAATTTCATCGCAATCTGACAACGTATTAGAAGACAAAAACTAAAATATACGATATATTCATCGTGATGTGACAACGTGCTTGAAAGAAGAAATTAAAAAAAATTGGATTTTCGTACGTAATTCTACATAGGCTGTCCAAAAAGTACCGAGACTGGTTCCATAACTCAAAAACCAAGATAGCTAGAGGCTTGATCTTGGTCTCATTTGGAAGATCAACTCAATATCTATCGATTCAGACCAAAATCAAAACTTTCGGTCAAGTATTTCAAAAGTTACGACACTGTTTGTAAAAAAAATACCTGGACCCCCTACCGTTTTTAATGACTATTTTCTCTTGCCGGGAACACTCTCTAAATTATTAATGATCAGGGCACGGTTCTTTTGCAACTAATCATGGCAAAACCTAATTGATTTGGAAACACTGTCAAGCCGTCGTCGTCCGACTACGGGTATAAGGGTTCAAAGTCCACAGGGAAAGAATCAACCGTCGGTCAGCCACCCCTAAAAAACCCGGGAAATTTTCGGCAGTTGTTGACAGTTCACAGTGCGTGCGTGGTCCACGCTGCAGATAGTGAGTGATTTTGTTTCTGTGTTCGAAATGTTTGATACCATCATGGAAAGAGATAAAGCAGTGGTATCAAAAATTTCGAACACAGAAACAAAATCACTCACTATCTGCAGCGTGGACCACGCACGCACTGTGAACTGTCAACAACTGCCGAAAATTTCCCGGGTTTTTTAGGGGTGGCTGACCGACGGTTGATTCTTTCCCCGTGGACTTTGAACCCTTATACCCGTAGTCGGACGACGACGGCTTGACAGTGTTTCCAAATCAATTAGGTTTTGCCATGATTAGTTGCAAAAGAACCGTGCCCTGATCATTAATAATTTAGAGAGTGTTCCCGGCAAGAGAAAATAGTCATTAAAAACGGTAGGGGGTCCAGGTATTTTTTTTACAAACAGTGTCGTAACTTTTGAAATACTTGACCGAAAGTTTTGATTTTGGTCTGAATCGATAGATATTGAGTTGATCTTCCAAATGAGATCAAGATCAAGCCTCTAGCTATCTTGGTTTTTAAGTTATGGAACCAGTCTCGGTACTTTTTGGACAGCCTATGTAGTTCATATATGAGTGGCAGTTCACAAAAGGAGGGACCTTAATCCTCTGAGGGAAAATACGTAAAAATTATGTAACAGAGTAAGAAAAATAAAATTTGTTAAGTGGCGTCGAAAACGTTAATTTCCGAAATTCCGTTTGAAAATTCTCGCTATATTGCACTGAGGACAAATTTTTGATGGCTTAAGTTCTTTCGTGGATAAAAACGAGCGTGAAACTGCATTGAAAATCGCCCTGGTAAAAATTGGCAGTAGAATCTGTGTTCCAAAATACCATAGACCTACAGCCGACTGTAAGATTTCCAATAGCTTCTATAGCCGGCAACACAATTTCTTATAGCCTTTTATAGCCGATGGGGAGTAAGCAACACCCTAGCAATAAAGTTTATGCTAAACGTTACTAATTACGGATGCTAGGACTTAGTGAGTTTTTGGACTATACCGCTCTCTTTTTTGGCCGTGGTATCTTGATTTACTTTGCGAGGAAAGCTCCGTACTTTTGAAGGATGCCTGCCATTTCTAATATGTCGGAGCGCCTTCAATTTCGTATGATACTGTGCAATACCTCTGGTGTGAAATAGTTGCTTCAAGCGCCGTGGTACGCTGCGGCGCGGCGGGCGGGCAGCCAGCGCGAAACGCGCATTGGCGCCTTCAAACCTAACAGGGATACTTCACGCATTGCGCAATGCGTGAAGTATCCGTGTTAGGTTTGTAGGCGCCAGTGCGCCGCCGCTCCGCTTTGTGTTAGGCTCTAATATTTAATCTCGTGGAGTCAGCGTTTTTCAACCCATGACTTTGAAATGTTTGCACACTCTGTACGGATTATTCTCATTTTAATTTATGAAAAAAAATATTTAGTAAAGGAAAATATAATGTGTGTTTTGTAAATATTAAGGTGATTCCGTACAAACTTGCGGATTTACAAAGCAAACGAATTTCTACACAGTTCCTTATAGCCTTTTATAGTCGATGGCGAAAAAGCAACAGCCTAGCGATAAAGTGTAAAGCCCGGCGATAGAAACTATAGCCCAGCTGTATAATTTTTTATCGCTTCGTGTAGCCCGGCCGTATGATTTTTTCCACTTTCTACAGCCAGCTATATGATTTTCTATCGCCTTCTTCAGTCGGCTATAAGAACTCCTGTGGTATTTTGAAACGCAGCTCGTATCGCCAATTTTTACCAAGGCGGAAGAAAGTACCCTATTCACAAATGACAAAAATAAATGTGAAATACATCTTTCCTGGAACTACTTTTTTTGAACTGTAAACAACAAACCACGATATGTGCATCTGGTTTGAGTTGATATGTTTTGATTTGTTTCGTCCAAAAAGAGGGAACCGAGTGCCACTTGCTTTATTTCAGAAAATGTATTATCTCTCTTTTTTGTAGAGAAAAAAACCAAGTTATGTATAATAATCGAACGAATTGATGATTTTTTCAGAAAATTTTCCTTTTTGGATAAAAAATGAGCAAGCAATGCTCCTGAAGTTCATTGAAGTTAAAATTTGAAACACAAAAATGAATAAGAAATAAATCATATACAACAGGTAGACCCTTTGCTCTCCAAAGAAACTTTGTTTTCTCGCTTATTTCCAAACCAAAGGCGAGGCGTGAATGATCGATTATTGATATTCCCATTTAAAGCTATAGTAAAGATTCGATTGTTAAGATGTTCGTTGCGAACACCTGTGTATTGATCCTTTTCAATAAGTTCAAATGGCGGATCAATCGATATATCGCGAAACACGCCTCGCCGCCGTTCTAAACGCG